ACTTGCTTCACCCCCTTGCAGCTGGAAGATGAGTAAGACAGTAAATTGGTACTAGAAAATGAGGTAAAGGATTTGGACTGACTTACAGATTTCAAACCAGGCAATGGGATGGGGAGGTAGGCCAGTAAAAACATAATGGCCTACAATCAGAGCTTTTGGTCTACTCCATCTGGAAGGCAATTTTTTGGCAAACAAATCAAAAGCCCAAAAGGAAAACATTTCAGCATTTTTCTTGTCCCTCTGACTCCATGCCTGTCTCTCCTATTTTCTCCCAAGGAAAGAAAGCTCTCTGATGCTCAACTTTTCCTAGCAGTAGACCAAGAATGATGTTAAATCCACTGCTACCAGCATCACTCAACCACAAAGATGAGAGAAGCCTCAACATCTATAGAGCAGAAAATCTTTCCTTTCTAGACTTCATTTAAGTTCAAGTATATTCCCAACCACCCAGTTTTGCACCCACTAAAGACATTTATCTGAAAGTATAAATATGAGATCAAAATCACTGTTCAGACTAGCCCAAAGAGAGAGTGCACTCTATGGTTGTAGTTAAAAATTGAGCTGCTGCATCTTCAGTTCTTATGAGTATTTATTTTTTCCTTCTGTTTCTAAATTTTTAAAACACAAAATAACAAGACTATTCTCTTCAGAAAAAAATAACAGAAAGTGATTTTTAAATGCCAATGTTTCATCAATTAAAGTTAGTTATCTCGGTTATTTAAGAGATAAACAATGGTACAACTGCTGATGAGTTTTACAGGTTCAAGTTCTCACATGCTCAATTTTCTTTTAAAAGGCAACATGTTGCTTCAAAGAAAGTCCCACCTGATTAGGGGACACCAACTCTGCAGCTGTTTCCACTAAAGATTGGCACCTCTAGGCCAGGTTTAAACTTCATAACAATAAAACATGAAAGGTCTGTCTTACAATAAAAACAAACCCACATGGAGAAGAGAAGAGTTTTCTCCGCCTTTGGCCACTTTTTTTGTTGTTGCATGACAAGCTCTCTTAGAAGAAAAAAGCCAAAGGAAAAAGTACAAAGCATTTTTTACCTTCCCTGGAAGAAAATATTTAACTATGAATAAAGTTTACATAACTTTGCCTCCCCCTACTCAAGCCTGTTCTTTTGGTCTATGCTGTCTGGAATGACAAATAACCCTAAAGAAATGCCTAATTATAGGTACACATCTTCCTCATGGAAAAGTCCAGTTACAGGGGGAAGAGGGGGGCAAGGGAAAAAAAAAATGCAACAGAGGAACCTTATGGAATTGACATTAGGCAAGGAGCCCATGCTCTGAAACCATTTCTTTTGGAGAGGAAAAAGAATTGGCACAAATTCTTAAAAAAAAAACAAATTACTCCAAATCAATCTAACCTTGCACTTTAATGCATGCTTAGTGCCCAAAAGGACATCATAAAACTGGCTAGTAGATAAACACACGTTTTTCGGAAGGAGCAATTCCTTAACAGTTCATCTGATACTACTTTAATAACAAAACAACAGAGAACTCCTTCCTACTACTTATAAAATACTGCCTTAAGTGGATTTTATAACAAATTTAAAATAACAACCAATACTAATGTATGCCTTAAGCCACTTTTGTGTAAAAAAGTGGGGGAATGAATAAATGAATGAATAAATAAATAAATAAGTGTCTGTGTGTGTGTGTGCGCGCGTGTGTGTGTGTGTGTGTGTATGTGTTAACAGCCATATGGACAATTTGTAGTTAGTCAAGGCAGTTTTATTTAGAAGGTCTTTGCTCTCACCATGTCACGTATCATAAAGCTTTACTTCACTGCACATAATTAGGAAGCAAACATAATCAGCAAGAACTAACAAGCAGGCTATATAAACTGACTGCTGTCTTAGGGTAGAATGTACTTTGGATGTCAGCCCCTAAAATGAAAAAATTGCAGCAAAACATGTTCCTGTAGTATCAACTTGCAACTGTCAATGGACTTACAATTTAAGAGAAATAATTCCCTCTTTGGAGAGGCACAACAGAAAAATCCTCAGAAAATCACTTAGGAAATATTTCTATGAAAGATCCTAGGGGGAAGAAAGACCATGGACCCATTTGATTTATCAATAACTTTTAAATGGTAATTAAGATCTCACTCCAGCTTACATTTTAACATTTTAAACCGAGTTCCTAAATTCATAAACCTAATATATACAGTTATCAATGCTAAATTTTAATCTGCATCTAAAAATTAAAATCTCAAAGCAACTTCTTTTAATTTGTATAACATATCAGGATGTATAAGAAAAAACTTAAGTACCATATTCAACTGGCTGTTTATGAATATGAGAAGCCACAGGAATCACAAGCAAGTTTTAAGATCCTAGAAGCCAAACTCACATAACTTTGTTCTTAAATACCTGAAAGAGAAAATACAGTTTCCCCCCAAATGAGGGGGTGCTTCTCCTGCTAAGTGGAATGACCAGAGCACAGATGCTACAGTGGGAGGCCTAGTTTGGCTTCCTTACCAGCTAGCTCTCTGACCTCAGGTCAATTATTCAGCCTTGCCCGCCTCAACCTGCTCATCTGTTGAGGGAACATAATCTCAGAGGGTTGCTGTGTTGGGAAAAATCAATTTTCACAGAGAATTCAGTAAGCAACAGTAAGATTTGCTACCTCTCTAATAAAACTCAAAAGACGTCAAAAGTGTAATATAATAAGTAATCCTCTATTAAAATGCAACTCACTTGGCTTGCTCAGGATTATACTTTGGGTGAGCCACAGCTGAATACTAGAACCTTTTCCCCACTCTTTGCATAGCTGACTATATTTCACTGGCATTACCAACTGTTTATAGGAATACATCAGGTTTTGATACATATTTTTCAAAAACAAGAGATTCCTTCAGACTCATTGCTGACCTAGAACATTTTGCTTTAAAATACTTTCCCAGAGCTGTCCTGTGTTTAATAAAGTTACATTTACATTTTGTACAGGGATTAATATCAAACTGACCTATTT